CATGGTTTATCTGTCCATCAGATGCGTGTCAAAGTTGAGTTCGTTACTATAACAACAGTAGATCAAACAATCATTGTAAAAAAACTTTGTCAAGACAACGACAAAATCAAGTCGTTATAACGACAAAACAACTCTCGTTATGTCGAGATCACGAGAAAATTAAGTCGTTATAACGAGAAAACAAGAAGAATAAAAATAATAATGCATGGCCGCTTAGAACTTCCGTAGATGTGTAAGTAAATGCATATAAAATCACTTAAAGAAAACAAAAATCTTCCAGAGTCCTCACGTTTGTTCCCCACAACCAAAACAAATCGACAAACAGTGCAGTCCCTGTCACTAAAATCACTTTTGAAAGCATTTAGTAACTATGGGAACAGTCGAATGGCAAAAGAAGAGAAACGGCCGCATGAAGAAATGTTTTTTTATATCTTTAAAATGCTATTTAGTGCAAAGTGACAAATTTCTAAAATGATTAAAAAAAATACAATGTTAGATAAAATGTCAAAAAGTTTAGACAATAAATATTTTGTGTGCATTTGTATCAAAGGAAACAGTAAGTGACTTTTATTTTGAAATCAAGTGCGGACGTCTGTGGTCAGCAGTAACTTATTATTATTGTCAGCTGACAACACCGGTTTAGTGAATAAAGCGGGGGGGGGGGGTTTCTCGGGATGCTGAAAAACAAAGCCTTTGATAACGTTACATCCCTGGCTAAACTTGTGTATGTTTTGTCAGTTGTATGTATGGTATGACATAAAACACAGTTTGTCGGGGGCGATTATCTACGAACTGCTTGATTATTTGATTATAGTTTGCGAGCGGAGACACGATGGATGATTATGAGGAGACTAGACCACTGCTGGTCAACGATGAGCTGACAGACGAGGACAGATCGGAGCAGGACTCATATCTAGAGTAAGTCTGACTTTATGGTCACTTTTTAGGAGTCTGTTTCAATGACTTTACATACAGGGTTCCCGCACTCATGGAAACAAAACCTGCTCAGCAAGAATGGTAACCGTGTCCGTAACTAATTTGTCTATAACTACTTTTGCTCGACAGTAAAGTTAAGAATGGGAAGCTGTACATGGCTACATTCGCAGCAGTTCTGGGACCCCTGAGTTTTGGCTTTGTCCTGGGTTACAGCTCTCCTGCCATACCTCAACTCCGCAAAATCCAAGACCCAAGACTGCAGCTCAGCACAGAGGAAGCTTCCTGGTTTGGGGTATGTGCTTTGAGTCCTGTCCTGTTTTTTGTTATTTATTTTTTTTATTATAATTTTTATTTTATTTTTTCATGTTCAATTCCCCAGAACTTACAATGCCTTTATAGTGTCTGAGTTGGAGGATGTTTAAATACCAAAATCCAAATGTAGTTGTCAGTGTATAACAAAAAAAAAGATTTAAAAAAATGCTGATGTCAATGTTCAAATGTTACAAAATGATGTTTTTCTGTCTGGTAGTCCGTGGTGACCATAGGTGCAGCTCTTGGGGGTCTCCTTGGAGGATGGGTTGTCGAGAGGATTGGACGAAAATTGAGCCTTATGTTCTGTGCAGTACCATTCATCTGTGGGTTTACCGTCATTATCGCTGCTGAGAGCCACTGGATGTTGTATGTGGGCAGAGTGTTCACTGGTCTAGCCAGTGGAGTGACTTCTCTTGTTGTGCCTGTAAGTATTACCAGTGTATTGCTGGAAGTAAAAATCCCATTCATTTTCTCTATAGGGGAATTGATTTTTAACAATAAATTCTAAACCTTTAAAGACAGACTTACTGTGCGCAATGAGGTAATTAATCAATGGTATATGCTTTAAGTCATCAGTCTGCATTATTTAATGATTTCAATTATTTTTTTTAAATATTCATGTTTAACAGCAAAATTCCTGGTAAAAAAAATACATTACCCATGATCCTGCAAAGAAATCTCTGACAATCAGAGAATCATGGGCTCTTTAGCATCCGCCCACTTGCATGAAGCACAGAGAATGATGTAATCATGTCTCCCTCTGCTCTCAAACGACTTAAATATTTGTGTATATATAGGTATAAAACTTAAACTTAAAATATAAATAAAAATATTAAAATATACTGTTTCTATATATAATCAATGCCTTTAAATGAATAGTTTTATCTTTCTCCATCTTTTAATTTGATTGTCATTCGCAGTGCTTCATGGGACTGTAGTTCTTTGTCTCGTTAAAGTCGTTAACTACACAATCTTGTACCTTTTTGTCCGATTTTCAAATTTTTTTTTTTTGTTTAAAATCTAATTTTGAAATTGTGATTCACTTCATAGCTGGTTGGTTTGGTTCGTTTCATGGCTTATAATCCTTCAACAAAGTCGATGGGCACTTTGCACATTATTATTACTGTTGTTGCTGTTGTATTAAGAACTGCAGACCACAGTTAACATAATTTAAATTATGTGAACCATGTTTTTAACTAAATTTTGGAAATTTAAGTCAGTAGAACGTTATCTATTTGACTTCTTTTTTCTCTCTCTCTCCATTTCTGCAGCTTTACATCTCTGAAACGGCTCATGAGCGTGTTAGGGGAACTATGGGATCGTGTGTGCAACTAATGGTTGTGACCGGCATTATGGGAGCCTATATAACAGGTATTTAGCCCTCATTTTAAACTTGTGATTGAATTATGACATACGAGTTATGATGCTTGACTGCCTTTGAGAGTAATAGAGCTGTTCTGCTCTCAGTTAGCTGTATGAGATGATTGTTAATGTTTAATCGGAGGACACATTTCAACCTTCTATAATTACAGTGAGATCTTACAAATATAATGTCTCTTTTCCAATGCATCCCTGCACTCAGTACTTTATTTGTTCTTTGAAATCAGCTCAAATGTGTGTGAATGCCATCCTAATTTGTGCTGATGAGAATCCTTGTGAAAGACTCTTATGCCTTTCAGTATTGCATTAATGGATAGGTCAAGTTAGCTCAGGAATGTCCCTCTTAAACATACACAGAGCCTGCATTGTACATGGCTGTATCTGAGCTGTGTTTACATGAAGAGTATGAAAACCTGACCCATTCTGTGTGATCAGTAGTAGTATATACCTTAAAAGTACCTCCATTAATTTATAGTAGGATTTATACAATGACATGAGGGTGAGTAAATGATGACAGAATTGTTATTTTGGGGCGAACTATCGCTTTAAGTAATGGAAAATTATTTTTTTCAAGGTTTGTTCCTGGACTGGCAATGGTTAGCAATCACATCCTCTATCCCTCCCACACTAATGCTGGTATGTATGTGCTTCATGCCGGAGACGCCACGATTCCTGCTCTGCCGAGGGAAAAAGAGAGAGGCAGAGGAGGCCCTCCGCTTCCTCAGGGGTCCTGATGCCCCGGCAGAGTGGGAGTGTGCTAGAATAGAAGAGGCCTACAAAAATGAAGTTAGACGTCACAAATTTCTCATTTCACATCTCAGAGTTCAAAGTTCTCAAATTGAATATTCTATGCTGAGCTGCAGTTCAAGGATAAAGTCAATGTGAATTGTGATTTGCAACCTGTTGTCCTTTTCTAATATTACATATTTTGAGTGAACTGGGTGATGAAACGGTTCACCCAAAAATGAAAATTCTGTCATTTACTTAGCCTCACGTCATTCCAAACCTGTATGACTTTGTATTCGTTTTTGAAACACAAATGAATATATTTTTAATGATGATTTATTTCCCTGAATTGAAAGTCTATTCCACCAAAACTTGCATGCTGTTTAATCCAAGAGACATGGTCACTTTATATGACACAAACATTTAATTTAGGCTTTTATTTATATATAAACATTGAACAATGCACATACATAGAGCTCATCAATTATGGTAAACTGAAGCACAGCCATTCTTGCTTGACGAACAAACCTTATTGGTTCTTGTGGAAGATCAATGTTCGTATGTGGAAAAATCTATTTATAATATAAAATGATCAAGTCTCTTCAGAAGACTTGGATTAAATCGCTCAATTCATATGGATTTATTTTACTGTCTTTATTAACTTTTTGAAGCTTCAATTTTTTTGGTTGCGTGGACTTTCAGTGGAAATCTCTCAGGTTTAAAAAAAAAATCTTAATTTGTGTTTCGAAGAGGAGCGAAAGTCTTGGAAAAACATGAGGGTGAGCGATGACAGAATTGAGATTTTTGGGTCAACTATCCCTTAAATTTTATTCAACAGGAGCTGATTGAATGATTAAATGTGGGTGTTACCAACCAGAATTAATGTTTAATTTTGTTGACTTTAAGTTTACCTCACTTTACTGGAGCTTTTTTTATTTTAATAAATAAAATGATGTGTACAACTTAATGCAAGTCACTAAAGTTGACATTAAATTGATTACAGGAGCAAAGCTTCAGTCTGGCGGATTTGAAGGACCCTGGTGTCTTTAAGCCTTTAGGCATAGGCATTATGATGATGCTCCTCCAGCAAATGACTGGCATTAATGCCATCATGTTTTATGCAGAGACAATCTTCGAGCAGGCCCATTTTGAAGTGAGTGTTTTGTTGGTTACACTTTATTTCGATAGTCCACTTTAGACATTCTATTAACTATAAGTAACTTTGTAACTACATGTCAACTACATGTCAACTAATTATCATTAATTTGCAACTACATGTCTACTAACTCTCAGAGTAGACTGTTAGGGTAGGTTTAGGGTTAGTAGAATAAGTTGACAAAGAAAGTGTTAGAAGATAGTCTTAAGTGTTAAGCAGACAGTCTACTAATACTCGACTAACTGCTAGTTGACATGTAGTTACAAAGTTACTT